AATGGTCAGTCCGTCCCTGGTTGGAAACTCGGGCACTGCCCGAGGGCCCGGGGTCAATAGGGGACCCCGTGAGATACCCTTGGTACCTTTTTCATAGGCGTTTTTGAGTTTGGGCAAGGACACAGGGGCCCCATGATCCCCTATTGCCTGGGGCCCTATGAGTTGTCAGTCCGCCCCTGCCTCTGTCCATGACCTTTTTGTCTCCCGCTCCCTTAACCTACTAGCAATTACAGAAACCTGGCTTCAAGCAGCAGATTCTGCTTCTCCCGCAGCACTTTCCTATGCAGTGCCCGAGTGCCTAAATGGTCAGTCCGCCCTTTCATAACTTTCAATGATGCGTCTGATTTGTAGGGAATGTTTTTTATTTTTCATCACTTGTATTTTTTTTACTATTTGTCAGGTTTATACGGAATACTTTCTATTTTTCAAAATGTTTTCTTTCATTTGTATTTTTTATCATTTGTATTTTTTTTATTATTTGTCAGGTTTATACGGAATACTTTCTATTTTCCAAATAGTTTTCTTTCATTTGCATTTTTCATCACAGCGCTGAGCAAACTGTTTTTTATTTTTCATCATTTGTGTTTTTGTTATTATTTGTCAGGTTTATACGGAATACTTTCTATTTTTCAAAATGTTTTTCTTTCATTTGTATTTTTCATTGTATTTTTTTATTATTTGTCAGGTTTATACAGAATACTTTCTATTTTTCAAAAAGTTTTCTTTAATTTCTATTTTTCATCATTTGTATTTTTTATCATTTGTATTTTTTTTTATTATTTGTCAGGTTTATAAGGAATACTTTCTATTTTTCAAAATGTTTTCTTTCATTTGTATTTTTCATCACAGCGCTGAGCAAACTGTTTTTTATTTTTTCATCATTTGTGTTTTTGTTATTATTTGTCAGGTTTATACGAAATACTTTCTATTTTTCAAAATGTCTATTTTTTATAATGTTTTTTTTTCATTTGTATTTTTCATCGTTTGTATTTTTTTTATTATTTATCAGGTTTATAAGGAATACATTCTATTTTTCATAATGTTTTCTTTCATTTGTATTTTTTATCATTTGTATTTTTTTTATTATTTGTCAGGTTTATACGGAATACTTTCTATTTTTCAAAATGTTTTCTTTCATTTGTATTTTATTATTATTTGTCAGGTTTATACGGAATACTTTCTATTTTTTATAATGTTTTTTTTCATTTGTATTTTTCATCGTTTGTATTTTTTTTTATTATTTGTCAGGTTTATAAGGAATACATTCTATTTTTCATAATGTTTTCTTTCATTTGTATTTTTTATCATTTGTATTTTTTTTATTATTTGTCAGGTTTATACGGAATACTTTCTATTTTTCAAAATGTTTTCTTTCATTTGTATTTTATTATTATTTGTCAGGTTTATAAGGAATACTTTCTATTTTTCAAAATGTTTTCTTTCATTTGTATTTTTCATCATTTGTATTTTTTTATTATTTGTCAGGTTTATAAGGAATACTTTCTATTTTTTAAAATGTTTTCTTTCATTTGTATTTTTCATCATTTGTATTTTTTTATTATTTTTCAGGTTTATAAGGAATACTTTCTATTTTTCAAAATGTTTTCTTTCATTTGTATTTTTCATCACAGCGCTGAGCAAACTTTTGGCGCTATATAAATACTGTAAAATAATAATAATAATTTGTATTTTTTTATTGTTTGTCAGGTTTAGACAGAATACTTTCTACTTTTCAAAATGTTTTCTTTTTTAATCGTTCGTAATTGTTTGAAGCACTTTTCATAATTACAGAGGAGATATTTAAGTCAAATTTACTCTAAAAATTTCAGAAAAAAAGCCAGCGTCAAAGTAATTGAAGTGAATCATACAGGTTGTTGTCCGGTATAGAATTAAAGTAAAAGAAAGCATAATTTAGCTGTTACAGTAAAAAAAAAAATTTTTTAATCACATTTTTCCTTTTAACACTTTTGTCATCAGCGAAACTCTATTACTCGGTGGCGGAGAATAAATAAGGAACATGAACTTCAAGTGAAGAACTTGAATGACTGCTAGAGAGCAGCTTGTTTCAGCAGTTTTCAGTAAAGTTTCAGTAAACTTTTTGTCGCAGTTCAGTCAAAGTCATGATGGCAGTAATTGTAAGGTCATGCTCCTTCTCCTACACACTTTGTAATGATGCCGCGTCAGGTTTTTTAAAGGGTATGGATCTCCCTCTGACTAATGCCTTAAAAATATTACAGTTTCATATTATTATGTATCACAATAGCAGTGTTTGGCACCAGCTAACTGACATGACTTCGGCAAAAAAAAAAAAAAAAAAAAATCTGCCCAAAACTGCCCATTTTTTTTAATATTAAGGTTCACAAAGCAGAACTTTTAATTTTAGAACTTTTTTGAATTTACTTTTTTTAGTTTAATTTATAAAATGTTTTATTTTATAAAAAAAAATAACAAATCCTCACCGAATGTGGGACCTATTAACTTCACCTGATAATACACATAAAGAAAATGATCTAATTAGTATCTGTGTTGAATGAAATTAAAATTGTTTTATGTTGCACAGCCACAGAAAAAAAAATGTAAGCAAAAACGTGAAATAAATCTCATTATATCTGATTTAAATTGCTCCTTCTACTACTACCCAGCCTGTCCTGCAAAAAATAGACATCCTTTCAAGTGATGGGAGACTCCAGTACCCAATGGATAGGTGCAGAAAGTGGGTGGATGGTGATCGGCCCTTGACATACACCTGGAAAAACATACTTTTCCTAATGAACATATTACCAATTTATTAAAAAAAATATATTTGTTTGTTTTTTAAATGTAAAATGAAAAAGTTTAAAGGATCTCCTCTAATTATAAAGAGCCTTTTAACCACTTCATGTCCGGACACTTTTACCCCCTTCCTGTCCAGGCCAATTTTCAACTTTCAGCGCTGTCGCACTTTGAGCGACAATTGCGCGGTCATGCAACACTGTGCCCATATGAATTTTTTTAGCATTTCTTTGAAACAGATAAAACTTTATTTTGGTGGTAGTTATTCACCAATGGGATTTGTTTTTTTTTTGCTATATAAATGAAAAAGTCCAAAAAGTTTGAAATAAAGTGTTTTTCTTATAAAATTTTGCAAATAAATAATCTTTCTTCATAAATCTTGGCCAAAATGTATTCAGTTATCTTTTTAGTAAAACAAAAATAACCCAAATTAGTTTATAACCAAAAATTATACTTTTACATTACATTTTTATTTTATTTTTTTATATTATTATTTATGTTTTGGGTTTTTTTACATACTGTCACCCTAGCAGTACAGTATCACCATAGTGACACTGTACTACTTGTGGGGGGTGAAGATTTTTTTTTTACACTGATTGCTTTTACACCCATAAAGGCTGTAAAAGCAATCATTTCTCCTCTCTGGCTGCATTCCTGCAGCCATTGAGAAATACTGTGAGAGCTGTAATTGGTCACAGCTTGTCACATGGTACAAGGCTGTTGTGAATAGCCCTGTACCATGTGATCTCTGTGATCATTCACAGATTTCACACATAGTAAGCAATGATGTCAGAAGTGCAGGGGTGGACTGACAACTCATGGGGCCCCTGTGTCCTTGCCAAAACTCAAAAAAGCCTATGAAAAAGGTACCAGGGGCATCTCATGAGGCCCCTTATTGACCCCTTACTGACCCCGGGCCCTCGGGCAGTTCCAAATGGTCAGTCCGCCCCTGCAGAAGTGCCATCTTGCTTACTACTGTTCATGTGATCACTGATTGCCCAATCAGTGATCACATGATCGGGACCTCACACAGAGGTCCCATACAGCAATCAGTGTTCTGCGCGCTCCCAGGGAGCGAGCACAATCCAAAATGGCGGGCGCCATTTCTGAATGGCAACCCACCCCTGCACTGCCACGGTCTGGCCGTTCATATACATGGGCCGGACGGGAAGTGCTTAAATCTTATTGCACCCTTAGAAAAAACACTAAAGACCACTGTAAGTTTTCCTTCCATATTGACTCCTAAGAATCTTGCTGCAATGGCAAAATACGGTCAAAACGTTACAACTTTTGATTAATTTTTCAAAACTTTCAGTTTTCTCATCTTTAGTAGTGTCTGTGCCTACGGGGGCTTATTCAGATATTGGACGGCTGTACAATTGAGAATTATTGTCACGGTCAGGGGTCTGGCTTGGAGACCAGCAGCTTTAGCAGTAGAGAGACTCCCGCCAACCAGGAGGATAGGTATACAAGCAGGTCACCCAAGCAGATGACACGGCCTCACCCGAGCTGCAGGGTCTAAGTTCTGGTATTCACCAGAGCTCCTAATGGTGGAGATCCATGTTAGTACCAGGTCCCAGTCCTCAGGATCAACCCACCAGGAGGTGAGCAAGCCAGAGTCCAGTAGCAGATATAGCAGGTAAGGATCAAGTGGAAGCAAAGTCAGCAAACAAGCCAAAAGTTGGTACCAAGCGGCTGCATGTTGGGATCAAGCAGAAGCGTAGTCGAGGAACAAGCCAAAGGTCAGCAACGAGTGGTATCAAAGATACAGATGGCGCCAAGAGTGACAAGAGCGAGATATTGGCTTTGAGAGAGCAGAATAATCTGGCAAACAGGAAGTGTAAAGGCATGGTTTAAATCTGGAAGTTGATGGGAGGACCAAAGAGTTCAAAGTTCACGAGAAAAAAAGAGACAAGGCAAGATTGCCCATCTTCCACAGTTATTACCTTTTGTACTACCAGCCCCTCCCTCTTAGATTGTAAGCTGCAAGGGCCTCCGAGACTCCGCTCTCTCGTGGTTCTCCTCCTACCTATCGCAACGTTTCTTCAGCGTTACCTATAACTCTGTCTCCTCCTTTCCAATTCCTGTTTCTGTAGGGGTCCCTCAAGGTTCTGTCCTTGGACCCCTTCTCTTCTCCAGTTACACCTCCTCCCTTGGTCACTGGATAAACTCCCATGGCTTTAAATACCATCTCCATGCTGATGACACACAAATCTATCTTTCTACCCCTCACTTCACCCCTTTAGTCTCCTCTCGCATTACTAACCTACTAAGCGACATATCACCATGGATGTCACTCCACTTCCTCAAACTCAATCTTTCCAAAACTGAGCTCTTAGTATTCCCTCCAGCCCGTGCCCCCTCCCCTGACTTCTCCATCAGGATCAATAACACAATCATCAGTCCTTCCCCTCATGCCAGGGTACTAGGTGTAATCCTAGACTCCCATCTGTCCTTTCAACCCCAAATCCAATCACTGTCCAAATCTTGTAGACTTCACCTCCGCAACATCTCCAAGATAAGCCCATTCCTAACCTCGGAAATCACTAAGCAACTTATGTAACTATTGTAACTCCCTCCTCATTGGCCAACCTCATCGCAGGCTATCCCCTCATCAGTCTATCATGAATGCTGCTGCCAGACTTATCCACCTTACTAACCGTTCCATATCTGCCATACTTCTATGCCAATCCCTCCACTGGCTTCTCATTCAGTGTCCTCCATCCCTCTCTGCCAGTCCCTCCACTGGCCCCCATTCAGTGTCCTCCATCCCTCTCTGCCAATCCCTCCACTGGCTTCTCATTCAGTGTCCTTCACCCCTCTCTGCTAATCCCTCCACTGGCCTCCACTCAGTGTCCTTCACCCCTCTCTGCTAATCCCTCCACTGGCTTCCACTCAGTGTCCTCCATCCCTCTCTGCCAATCCCTCCACTGGCCCCCATTCAGTGTCCTCCATCCCTTTCTGCCAATCCCTCCACTGGCCTCCATTCAGTGTCCTCCATCCCTTTCTGCCAATCCCTCCACTGGCCTCCATTCAGTGTCCTCCCTCCCTCTCTGCTAATCCCTCCACTGGCCCCCATTCAGTGTCCTCCATCCCTCTCTGCCAAACCCTCCACTGGCCTCCACTCAGTGTCCTCCATCCCTCTCTGCCAATCCCTCCACTGGCCCCCATTCAGTGTCCTCCACCCCTCTCTGCTAATCCCTCCACTGGCTTCCCATTGCCCAACAAATAAAGTTCAAAACATTAACAATAACATATAAAGACATTTACCACTCTGCCCTAACTACATCACCAATCTTGTCTCCAAATATCACCCAAACCATCCTCTCCGATTACTCCTATGACCTCCTGCTTTCTAGCTCCCTTGTCTCCTCCTCCCATGCTCATCTCCAGTACTTCTCCAGAGCATTCCCCATCCTCTGGAACTCTCTACCCCAATCTATCCCACTATCGCCTACTCTGCCCATTTTTAGGTGATCTCTTCAGCCTATCCTGCCTTCAGGAATCTTCTTCTATTCTAAGTTCATCCCCCACAGTTATTACCTTTTGTACCACCAGCCCCTCCCTCTTCGATTGTAAGCTCCCAGGATCAGGGCCCTCCTATCCCTCTAGTATTGAACTGTACTGTTGCTGTATTGTCTCCCTTTATATTGTAAAGTGCTGAGCACACTGTTGGCGCGATATAAATCCTGTATAATAATAATAATTGTCCTAAGAGATTAGAGAGGGTGTTATTCAGCATTGCAGGTGGCACAGCAGGAAGAGATACTACCAGCCACAGCAAAGGTTGCAGGTTCCGCTCCGGGTCCTGACAATTATTGGGTGCTGGTCATTTGATACAATTTTTAAATGTTTTTTCAACAGAAATCTAATGAAATGACTGATAAAGTGTATCTAAAGAGAAAGGCTGCACTATACACAAGAAATCTTGAATGTTGACTTTTAAAATTCCATGTATAGAAATTGATTACCAAAATTTTACAAGTTAAATGGATGCTATACAACTTGGGTGTTGCCTATATATGGGGTCTGTACCATATGCAATGCAAAAGTGAGCATAACATTTTTAAAAGTGTACATAAGTACTAGTTTCCTGCCAGTTGCTGCTAATGCTAGAGAAAAGGGCAGCCAAACTGTACCTTTGTCTCACACAGAACCAGCTCTTGGGCAAGATTGCGGAGGATAGAGATGGATTGAAATCACCAGTGGAGAGGAGGAGAAAGAACCAGGATAAAGAAGACCCCGCTATATGGGGAAGGCACATGAGACCTAACTTTGGGTCAAAGCATCAAGATGAGTCTAACCAATCACAGAGTCTCATGAGAAGGAGAGGGAAGTTGCTGCCATCTACGATCTATCCAGGGAGGAATCCATACCCGGTTATAGAGGCCCCATAAGACGCACCAGCTGACCTTCTGAGATATTGTGTTCTCAAATGTGCAATGAAATTGCGCATCTGGTGAGTGCGCAATTTTATTACTTGATTGTCACCAGAAGATAAAGAAAGGGATCACTATTAGACTTCACATTTGTTTAATATATGTGGACTTTTTTGGTACTTTATGCACGAATCTTCACTTTGTTGAGTGATTGGTTATTTGTTATACTTTTACAGTTTTTTTCCCATTTCACACTATTGGATTGACATATACAAATGATTCCTATTGTTGAATAATTTCTCAATTTAATGATATTTATGCAAGCGCTGCACCTTTATTTTATGCTTTGATTCTGGGAGGTTGTTTTTGGTACCTTTTTGGTGTCCCAGCTGCTCTATGATATAGCGCTCACTTTTTACTTTTATACATATATATGGGGTCTGTACCATATGCAATGCAAAAGTAAGCATAACATATTTAAAAACGTACATAAGTCGTTTTAATTTCCCATGTTGGAAGAGTAACTATTTCTCTATAGTATTTCTTCTTCTTTTTCATTGCAGGTAAATAATGGATTCCAAGCAGAAGCAACGTTTCATCAATGAAATCTTAACGAAGGAGGGGTGCAGGCTGTCCAACTTCCATAGAAGGATACAGAATGTTTATGGAGATGACACCCTTGACAAGAGTCATCAATGAAAAGACATTGCTTCTGTCAATGGTGTCATCTTCATAAACGTTCTGTAGCTTTCTGTTAATGTTGGACAGCTTGCACCCCTACTTTGTCAAAAACTCAACGATGGCACGTTGCTGCTGCTTGGAATCCATTATTTACCTGCAATGAAAAAAAAAATACAAAGAGTTATTATAGAGGAAGTGTTACTCTACCAACATGTGACATTTGAACAACCTGTGTAAGTTAATAAAAAAGTTATGCCCACTTTTGAATTACTTTTGCTACAGCTCTCCTATATATGAGTGTTGAATGAAGTCCAACACAAACCTGGCAATTCTAAATGAGTGCCATCAGAGGACATCGTCGGTAAAAATCTATTGGTCAGTATTCCAAAGCTTGACATAGGCTCTTCTTAAGCTTCAAATTAGATATTAATTTACACTGCTGTGATAAATCCCAGATTCAGCACTTTATTATTATTATTATACAGTATTTATAAAGCGCAGATAGTTCGCTCAGCGCTGTACATTACAGAGGGGGACAGAACATGTGATAGAACAATAACAATACAATGCAAAACATGAGGGGATCGAGGGCCCTGCTCTTTCCAGCTTACAATCTAGGAGGGAGGAGATGGTGGCACAGGAGGAGATAGCTGTGGGGGATGGGGTGGTAGGAAGAGTGGAGGAGGTCGGCAAGTTAGCAGGGGGTGGGGTAGGCTTCCCTGAAGAGATGGGTTTTCAGGGTGCGCCTAAAGGAGAGGAGAGTAGGTGATAATCTGATGGGTTGGGGCAGGGAGTTCCAGAGGATGGGTGACACCCTGGAGAAGTCCTGGAGGCGGGCATGGGAGGAGGAGACCAGGGAACTAGAGAGAAGGAGGTCTTGTGAGGAGCGGAGTGTGCGTGTTGGGCGGTACTTGGATATTAGGTCGGTGATGTAGTTCGGGGCAGTATGGTGGACAGCTTTGTACGTCAGTGTTAGGATTTTGAATTTGATCCGTTGGGCAATCGGAAGCCAGTGGAGGGATTGGCAGAGGGGGCTGGCGGAGATGGAGCGGTTGGAAAGGTGAATGAGTCTGGCAGCCATATTCAGGATGGACTGAAGTGGGGATAGCCAGCGGCGAGGCAGGCCAGTGAGGAGAGAGTTGCAGTAGTCGAGTCGTGATATGATGAGGGAGTGAATGAGCTGTTTAGTGGTTTCTGGGGTTAGGAACGTGCGGATTTTGGCGATGTTGCAGAGGTGGAGTCTGCACGAGTTTGTTAAAGATTGGACTTGGGGCTGAAAGGATAGGTTGGAGTCCAGAATGACACCCAGTACCCAGTACGCCTGCGGGGCGGGTTTGATGGTGGCGTTGTTGGACATGATGGAGAAGTCAGTGGGGGGTGGTGTGCAGGCTGGGGGAAGACAAGAAACTCTGTCTTGGAGAGGTTCAGTTTAAGGAAGTGGAGTGACATCCAGTCTGATATGTCCCTCAGTAGGTGTGTGATTCGGGCGGAGACCGAGGGGGTGAGGTGGGGGGTTGAGAGATAGATTTGTGTGTCGTCGGCATAGAGGTGGTAGTTGAAGCCATGAGAGTGTATGAGTTGGCCAAGGGAGGAGGTGTAGATGGAGAAGAGAAGGGGCCCGAGGACAGAGCCTTGAGGGACCCCAACAGAGAGGGGGAGTGAGGGGGGGTGGTGGTAGCATTATAGGAAGTGTTGGAACACTTGGAAGTGTTCTTCAGGAGTCATCTGATTTTCACCTCATTATCATCAGTGGATTATTTTTGAAACAATTACGTGGAATTCAAAATTAAAAATGTTATTTTTTAGCCGGAGTGTACCCCGTAAACATGAATAACCAATCTCTTTTGTGCTTGTTTTGTACTTAAATGGCATCTTTAACTGTTTCCTCATTGTCAATTTGTAAATACAAACTTGTAATGGAAAAAAAAAATATGTAACTTCTCCTTAACTCTCTACTGTCTCGTAGTGATCTAATATGAAGTTTAGGAAATCCCACGACCGAATAGACATTATAGAGGGAAATCCCTTTTGCCTCAGGAAGGATCATTTGGAAATTGAAAGCTTTGAGGGGGTCAAATATAAAATCCCAGAGATGGTGTGTTTGCAGGAGTCAGAGAGCAGAGGAGCAGAACTTGACAAAGCTCACTCCTTCAGCCAAGATGAACAAGCTCATTCCAGGTAGGAAGATACTATCTAAGGACAATCCTGTGGAGATTACATACAAATACAAGTGGATTAGGAAAATTGACTGATTACCCATAGGATTGTACTTTATTCTAAATATATTTTTTTTAATAATTACTTCCTCTAAATTCATGGGGGGCAATGGCAACACATTAGAAAGACATGCAACACAGTTTAAAGCGATTTTTAACCCAAAATTGGGAACAGGTTGCTGAGTAGCTGGTGCACCATCAATTTGATATTGAAACTGCCTTTAATGGGAGTACCAGAAGAATGACACCTCAATACCTGGGGTTCCAGAACAATGGCACATTGATGATTGAAGTTCTAGAGCAATCTAACACGTGGGTCCCAGAAAAACAGCAGACTGACATATGGATTGCAGAACAATGGAAAACCAACAATTAGGTTTTGGAACAAAGGCAGAATGATGCATGGGTCCCAGAGCCATTTATCCTTGACAATTGGAGATTGACCATGATGCTTTGACACACAGGGTTTCAGAACAATGACAAACTGTCCCTTGGAGACCTGAATAACAATGCACCAGCACTTGGGGTCTAGATCTGGGATCCAGAACAAAGATTTACTACTGGAACT